CACCGAGCATCCCCAGACAAACCCAAAGCTCCCCTTTTTCATCCCAAATTCCCCTCCTCTTCCAGCCCGACCTCCCAGCCAACCCGAGCAGTGGGATTGGGAATAACAGCGGCAGCCAGGCCTTGGGAAAGAGGGAAAAACGCCCGGTGGAGCCTCGGATCCGCCGGATGTGCTGGGAAGCCGCGGCTCCTCGTTAATAAAACATAACCAAGCGTGGGATCATCCAATATTCCCTTAATTCAGTGCTCCCAGGAGGCCGGGAATGCGGGAGCTTTTCCCGCTCACTGGGGCGGAGAGGAGCGCCCGGGATGTTAAACAGCTGGAAAAGCCCTCACTTCCCATTCCCATTCCCATTCCCATTCCCATTCCCATTCCCATTCCCTCCTCCTGAGATAAAATCATTCCAATCAAATCCTTTCAGTCCAAAATCTCTGGGATTTTTTACTCCCGGTTTTTTTTTTTTTTCCTCCTGGCGGAAAGCGTGGAGCAGATCCAGAGCGTGATCCCTGCAAACCGGGAGCATCCCGAGCATCCCGTTGTCCCAATCTTCTCTCCCCCACCACGGAATCTCACAGATTTCCCTGCCCTTAAATAAAAACCACCCTGCAGGTTCCAAGGAATGGGAAGGATTAATTTGGGAAGCGCTTCCCAGGGCTCCTCTCGCCTCCCACACCCCGTGCCAATCACAGCGGAAATTCGGGAGGAATCCCGGTGATCCCCACTCCTCACAAAGCGTTTCCCTACGGGAAAAAAGCCGGAATAACACGAGGAGACACAAACGGAACTTCACAAGGGTCAGCGGGAGCCGGCGTTTATGGAAAACCTCTCATTATCTGATTCCAAAGGGAAGGACTCCGAGCGCAGCCGGAGCGCTGGAGGCTATTCCAGGCAGGATGGGCTCTCTGGGACCTTTGTTCCCAGTGGGAATTGCATCCTTTGGATCTTTTCTGGAGCAGGATCTGCCCGTTGGCTGGTGCTTTTCCAGCAGCAGATCCAGCCTCATATCCCGCGTGGAAAATCCCATTCCACAGCAGATCCAGCGTTTCCATCCCGCGTGGAAAATCCCGCTCCTCAGTGCATCCAGCCGGTTATCCCACATGGAAAATCCCGCTCCCCAGAAGCTCCCTGGGAATATTTTGGGCTCCTTGGCCTTTCCCAGCCTCTTCCACCCCTCTCCGAGTCACGGGGTCTTCGCACAACCCAACATTCCCGGGTTTATCTTCTGGAGGAAAGCCAGGAATGCAGCCAAATTCCACCCCCGGATCTCGGGATGCTGCAGAGGGTGGGATGGCAGAGCCCGGGCACGTGGATCCTGTGTTCCCACATGGATCCTGTGTTCCCACATGGATCCCGTGTTCCCACACGGATCCCATATTCCCACACGGATCCCGTGTTCCCACACGGATCCCGTGTTCCCACATGGATCCCGTGTTCCCACACGGATCCCGTATTCCCACATGGATCCCGTGTTCCCACACGGATCCCATGTTCCCACATGGATCACTTCCCAGGCAATTCCCACCCAATCCATGGAGTTTTTCCAAAGGAAAGACACAGCCACGGAAAACTCGGGATGAAGAAGGAGAACATATCCACAAGCTCTCAGGGAGCTCATTTGCATCCCCCTTATCCCAAAATCCAGATTATCCCAAAGACTTTGCTGGAATTTGCTGAGCTGGATGCTTTGTGCCCCTCTCCTGCTGTCCCAATCCCACCAGGAAGAGCTGGACATTCCCAAATCCCAAATCTCTGGGAGCAAATCCTGCCTTGGGACCAGCCTGGCGTGAGAGGCCTCCAAAGCAACCTTCTGCCCATAAATCCATGGAATTCATCCCAAAGAAAAAGCGATTCCATGGATGGGAGACCACCCTTAGGCAGATCCCTCATCCCACCCATCCCTCTGATCCCAAACTCCCGCCACGGAGCCTCTCCCTGGATCCAGCCCTTCCCTGGGGCTGCAGATCCTTGGGAAAAGAGGTGGAAAAGCAGGAGATGCATCCCAAAAAAAGGTTCCCAGCTCCTGCTTTCCCTGTCCTGGCCGGATGGGAAGCGGCTCTAGGATTTATCTCTGGGCACAAGGAGGTGGAGAGGGGCTTTTAATCCCTTATTCCCAGAAAATATCCACCAAGGAATTACAGGAATGGGAAATTATTCCAGAGGTTTGGGCAGGAGACAAACAAATCCCCGCCTCTCCCGCTCCAGGTGGGATTTTCCATACGGAGAAGAGCTCCCGGCGCCGGAGGAGCCAAAATGTGTGGCCTGGAGTCTGGGAAGGAGCCACATTCCCACCTCCGTTCCCTCCAGCGGGAATTGTGGGCTTTCCTGGAGCTTCCCCATCCTCCTCGGAGCCGAATCCAAGCTGGGAGTGGGAACAAGGCACATTCCCTGATCCAAAGGCTTTGGAGAGCCCCCCAGTCCCTAATTTGATAAAACCAACAATTCCGAAGAGGGAGCAACAGCCGCGGGTTGTTATCCCTGCCTTTGGAATCCTCCCGCCCTTGGCATTCCCGCCGGATCCGGGCCCCGACGCGGCGAAAACAAGCCCGTGATTGACGGGTTATTTTGGGAAAAAATAAAGGAGAGGGGAAAAGTGGGAAGCAGAGAATGGGATGAGTTTGGAACGAGCCCGGCAGCGCCGCCGCCAGCAAACAAAAGGGCACAGAGAGCAGCTGGATCGGGAAGGATTCCAGCCCCATCCCTCAGCTGGGATCCGCCGGCCAGAGCCGCCCCCCAAAATCAAGGATTTGGGAGCTCCTGCCCTCGTTGTGGTTCTGTGCGGGGTCGAGGCTCTGAGAGCAGCCGAAGTCGAGGATTTGTGTTGGGAAATTGGGGAAAATCCCCCAAAATCCCATCAGAGAATTGTGAGGGGCGAGGCTGCTTCATCCTGCTCCAGGCAGGAATTTGTGCCCGTTCCCAGCGGTCTGTGGAGAGCTCCCAGCTCCATTCCCAGCTCCATTCCCTGCTCCATTCCCAGCTCCATTCCCGGCTCCATTCCCTGCTCCATTCCCTGCTCCATTCCCAGCTCCATTCCCGGCTCCATTCCCTGCTCCATTCCCAGCTCCATTCCCAGCTCCATTCCCAGCTCCATTCCCAGCTCCATTCCTGGCTCCATTCCCTGCTCCATTCCCGGCTCCATTCCCTGCTCCATTCCCTGCTCCATTCCCAGCTCCATTCCCGCTCCATTCCCGGCTCCATTCCCGGCTCCATGAAATGGAAATGGGGGATTGGGAAGGAATTCCCAGCTGGGAGGGAGGTGAGGGCCTGGCACGGCTTTCCCAGAGGAGCTGGAGCGGCCTCTGGATCCCTGGGAATGTCCAAGGCCAGGCAGGGATAGTGGGATCTATCCCTACCCATGGAATTCCAGCTTAAAGCATCCCGAGATTCCAAGGCTGAGCCCATGGATGGAGCCGGGAATATCCCAAACACCTGGATCAGAATTCCTTACCCCAGGCCAAAGGGCACCGACATTCCCAAGCCAAACCCTACAACATTCCCGGGATTCGGTTTTGGGCGATGCCGATAAATCCCAAGGGAATTTGGGGGGGCAGGGGGGGATGAACACCCCCAAACTGAGCTTGGGGGACTCCAGAATTGCTCCGGGAGCAGCCACAGGAATTTTTCCACCGAGAAATAAAGCTGGGAATGTCTCCCCATCCCGAAGACGCTGATTATCCTGGGAAGGCGCGAGGAGAGGGAAGATCCTGGCTGGAATCGCGGCTTTTTCCCGAGCTCTGGATTGGAAGCGGCAGCTCCTGAACGCCGCCGGTGGGAAGAGAGAAATTGGGCTAATTGGGAAAGGGTAATTAGCGCAGCGAGGGGGATTCTCTGAAGGGGCTGGATTTACCCGGAGAGGCTCCGTGGGAACGCGGGATCCGTGGAGATGGGAGGGAAAACTTCCAGAAAGGAGCCGAAGGCAGGATTTGATGGGAAAAGCGTTAATAGGGAAGGACGGCGGGAATATGGGATGGAATTTTGGCAGGTGGATTAAAGCAGGATTTCATCCCTGCTCCTCCTTTTCCCTCATTCCCCCAGGACACAATTCCCACCAAATTCCTCCTTCCATTAAAAACAACCACGAGCAGGTGTCTCCCACCACCCTTGGAAAAGCCCCACGCTGGGTTTTTCCCTCCAAAAACGAGGAAAAATCGGCTTTTCCAGGCTGGAAAACGAGCTGGGAAAAATCCCTGCCAGAACAACCTCGGTGGGGGAGAAAGGAGAGGGGAGAGAATTCCAGCTAAAATCCCAACCTGCGTTTTCCAGGAATATCCCCAAGGACAGCAAAGCCCAGGAGCCTCAAACACTTGAATTTTCCCTGTTTATTTCCCTCTGGATGGGGGGCGGGAAGCAGAAGCCAAAGCAAATCCCACCGGGATAAAAACCCGCTGGAAAATCTCCGGGAACGCGGCACTTCCATCCCTCCCACGGCCCCCGGGAGCCCTCGGTGGGGCTGGATTTGAAGGAGCCAGCCCTGATCCCAGAATCCATGGATCCATGGGGGGGAAAAGGGGGATTTTTCCAGCTTTTCCAGTCCCTTTTCCAGACGCTCCTCTCCTTTTCCATGGTCCAGCGCTGCCTCCTCCGCGTGGCCTCATTTTTCCCTCCCGACGCCTCCTTAACCCACTTAGCCCCGGCCGGGATTTTTTTTTTTTTGGCCGAAGGAAGAGGTTGAGCCGGGGACAAAGAGGGGAAAAAAAAGCTGGAAAACACCTCGGGAATGATCCCGGCTCCTCTCGGGGTCACAGAGGGATTTTCCTGACCCGCTGGGGGATGCGGAGCGAGGCTGGAAACCCTTTCCCCCCACCCCGAAAATAAAAGCTTCTCACGGATGGTTTGTGGGGTGGGGAGCGAGTCCAGCGGATTCCCGGGAATCCTCCGGGATGAGGAGCTGGATGAGGGGGGATGATAAAATCAGGAAAAATTCCTTAAAGAAAACAAAGGGGAGGGGGTTTTGGGGACGCAGAAATGTAGGGATGACCAGCGGGAATTGGGGATGCGCCCACCTGGATCTTCCCGGGCTCTGGATCCTTTGGATTCCTCTCCAGCTGGGATGGGGAGGGCACGGCTCCAGCCAAGGATGCCCTCAGCCAGGAAAAAGCCATCTGCCCTCGGAAATTCGGGAATGGCGAGCGCTCCGTCCCCCAAAATTGGGGAACGAGGCGGGGCCCCCCGAAATTCGGGAGCAGCTCGGCCCCCGAGCGAAGGGAGGAGCCCCCGAGCCGGGGTTCGGCCGGGATTTGTGGCTGGATGATGGAAAAACAGAGCCCGGGATGGGATTTTTGGGACAGCTTGGGGCGGGGGATGAGGGAAGGATGACAGAATTACAGGCTGGATGGGGTTGGAATCCCAAAAAACCCACAAAGACAGCTTCCATAGGGAAAGGGAGATGCTGAAGGATCCTCGGGATGCGGCGAAGTTCCAGCGGGGTTCGGGGAGCTCGCGGACACCCAAACCCAAACAATCCCAACAATTCCCCACGCCGGATCCATCACTTCACAACCCCCCCGACCCCTCCACGAACCAACTTCGATCCCGTTTTTTCCCTCCATGGCGAGCAGAGAATTATATTTTTAATTTTTTTTTCCCCCCCCGCCCGCACCGCAAGGAAAAAATCAACAGCGCGAGAGCAACCGCCCGATCTGCGGCGAGGAAAAAGCAGGAGAGAGGCAGGAAAAATGATCCCTGCGCCAGTGACAGACAGCTGGAGCTCCGGGAAAGCCGGGGGGATGCGGCGTTCCTTGGAAATTGTCAATCCGTGACCTTAAAACGGCGGCGGAGGAGAGC